CTGGTGGTACGACACCGGTCAGATAATCGAATCAATGATTCATTGTTATTTAAACAGTAGTTAATTGATCATGTTATCGTTTGATGTTTCATTAATTTTCATAGTTTCACTTCGATACGTTTCATGGATTAATAATAGAACGAGTAATGGAAATATGATTTAACCCTTTAACGACCAGTGGAATGCATCGTACGTTCTATTTGAGCGCTCGAGTAAAAATTGATATTAATTTACTATCCGCTATAGATACTATCGATTCTAGAAATTCCTTAAAAAGATCATTTCGACGCGAAAGGATCGACTAATTAATTTAACCTGTTTTAATAAGCCGGAAAATTAAACCGAGGTATCTCGTATGAATGAAAATAGATTGATTCCGCTTTTGAAATTCCATTCCTCGCATTCCTATTTTACCTTGCATTTTAAAAATACGACCTCAGCTCTTATTCCGCATATTTTATGCTTCGTAGAAATCGAAGCGAATGGAAAAATAAATTCGTGGCTTCTATATCGCTAAAACAAAATTCATCTCATCAAAACGAGAGAAATACGAGAGAATGCATCTCTCTGCTTTTCTCTTCACTGAGATCACTTAACTTCAAGAAGTGCAGAATATACAAACTCCAGGGAGTAAAAATTCTTTACGTATTCACCTTTTCATGAGCTTCGTAGGTAATGTGAAATTATATTACGTTAACCCTTTCGTGCACCGAATTATTTTTTTTAAATCTGTTACTTCCCCGATGAATACTAAATCAAGATCAATCTTTGTTCCAGTACTCAAGTGAGATGTATGCGCTCCTCAAACAAAAAGGCAACAAAGTGGAATTAAACTTCGAACAGTCTCTTTCGTAGAATCCTGATCGAAAAATTCTACGTTAAATTGTATCACAACTTCACCGTTCCAGCAACGACGAAAGGAAATCTCTGTCGAATGATTCCTCGTTACGAATTACAATTGAAACACAGTCGGAAGGTTCCATTCTACAGAAAACAAGTGTGTCGCATTACAAATTGGACGCGCGAAAAGTCTTTCAACGTCTCGCACAATGCTACTTGAAAACAAACGAAAAAAAAAAAAAAAGGACAGGAACCACGCTTTTCAAGCACGTAGCGAAAATGATCGTAACCAGGCTCTCTCTCATTCTTCAGACGGAACAATACCCTAATTATGGCTACGCGTATTCAAGAAAAAGGCCAACGTCCATTGGACAGGGAACGCGTGACAAATTTTCAACGATACATTTCGTCGGCAAGATCTACGAGAACTCGAAAGAAGTTGTTTCTCGTCCCAATTAGAGAACGAGTGGGAAACACGGATACTTTGTCAACTGTTACCGTTCCGTTCGCTTACTCCATGGGAATATTAATGATTCGGCTATGGTGCTCGTACATATACAGGGTGCGTCGCGTAATTTCTCTTTTCTCCAAGTCACAAAATATACTACAGTAAAAGAAAGGAAGAAAGAACACCGTGATAAGATTTATTTTTCAAGAACTTCACTTTGTTCACAGAACTGCTGAATACAATTTCACTTTTCATTGATAAACTAGCGCGAATCGCTGACTTTCAAGTGATCTCACTCCGTATACAAAATATCAGATGTCGCAGAGATATTGTAGAAATTTTATTGCTCAGACACCAATTAACCTTCTGTCACGTTATGCAACTTCGAAGTTACGTATCTGCTTATCTACATTTTATGTATTTATTGCTAGACTGTTACATCATTAGCAGCTAATTTCTCGATAATTATTCATTTTTGCTTCTCTCGTCGAGTACATAAAATTGCAATCAACCGCAATTTTTCTTCTCGCGAACAAAGAAAAATCGGATTATAGAGGGTGAACTAAATAACGTACAGTTTGTCTTTAAATATCCTACTATTTGAACGGTTCTTCTTCTGCGAACAGTTCATTTTATTCGAACTCTTCGCAGATGGAGGACCGCGTGCCACGTCGAAATACTGATTACTCGTATAGAACATAATCATGTCACTACCTCGGTTCTTTTTCGCAAATCAAGTTATACCAAAATTACATTCTACTGAAACGTACTTTGTGACTTGTGAACGCGTATCTATCATTCCCAAAGGGTTAAGCGAAACAGCAATAATTTAAAATACCTTCGCCATACAGTACAACCATATCAACAACGTGTGTACGATAATCTATTCACATTAACCAAGAATTCGTCGTTTAAATTTATCTTTCGCGCCCTAAAATTACGACAGCTAACACGATTGATAACTCGACATGATTCCAAGTCCATTTCGTAAATCACTTCGCCGTTGAGAAAGAAAGAGGGAGAAAAAAGAAGGGGTAAAGAGCCACTCTAGAAAATGCTCATTGCATAATATGATGGACTGCGCTATCCTAAATATATAAAGCACCCTGTGTACCGCCCCGCTTAAATCGGTCCTTGCTGGCACACGAACTCTTTCTGCCCTCGTATTTCATTTCGAATTCATGCGTGCCCTGAACCCGACGTTCATCGCACACATCGAACAGATATATATTCGTGGCTGAAAAATCGCCAGCGACGACGATGCGCCGGAATGCTCCTGTCCAGGTCGATCTCTTTTTAATCGTGTTGCTTCGAAAAAGGAAGCGCATCCTCTGACGGGTTCATTTGCATAAAGAAAGCAAAAAAAGAAGAGTAAACACAACGATGATGCATCGTTTTGTTTTTCTGGTACACCTTAAACCGCACGTTCTATTATTGTATAAACTTAATTTCTTATCGTGGATATTTAAGATTCTTTCGTCGCAACGAAACTAACACACAGATCAAGAAAATAGATTCTGAATTTTTAATGTTAGTAATATCAATCGACAAAATAGAATAAAAATAAAATAAAATGAAGATTCAAATAGATGAAAGTTCTATTTCAAAGAAGATACGATAAATATTCTCTACGGAGTCAAAAATAGACTACAAAACACGATTCTAGCTGATAGAATCAAAATTGTTAATGTCAATGTCGATCGAAAAAGGTAATAAAGAGTGAAATATAGATTAAGTTGCTTTTTTAAAGAGAGAGATATTAAATATTCTCCATAGGCCAGAAATTTTCAATCAATTCAATAAGATCAATATAATCCAGATTGTTACCTCCAAGAAGGTCAATATTGAACGACTACTGATCGTTAACTGGTGAAGTGAAATTGAACGCATGCTGTTCCATTGAAAAGAGAAATAAAACGAATATATCCATAAGAAAGAAATGACAAAAATATGACAATCCTGGATTAATCCTAAGCCGACTGAACGACAGAGCTATGCTTTTTTTTTCAAAGTATTGGATTTGAATAGTTAGTGTAACGAGTTCACCCGCAACTTCGTGTGCTTTATCTTCATTCTGTCGTAGGACTTTGAATAGACGGCATAAATATGTAGTTGTTAAGCATAGTATAATCAATTCTAATTTTATTCCATCCAAATCGTTTACTCTTTGACATAATAATTATATACTCGTAAGACGAATGCACTTTTCGCATTCTTGTGTTGAAAACAATAGTGAAATTTGTGAAAGTTTTTGGCTAAAATTTCGAATAAAAGATTACATATACAGCATTTTATTTCGAGAATCGAAGACTAGAGTAAGCTTGATCAATTCTGTTTTCTTCGTTACAGTGAAAGAAGAAATTTTTTTAATTATTATATTAGATACTTATTACTGTATCGAATTGTCATTTACATGTTTCATTAACGACGTAAATATGTCAGTTCCTTCGGATGAAAATACAAAGCAACATTCCCTAATGGCGATCATTTTTCTTCCCAGCCTAGCTATTTTTATGAGACCAGGAAAACGTCGGGTGAAGTCATAAATAATTTTCGTATCCTGGGAAACTTTAAAGCACGATTCATTACACACGTTCCTGAACGCTTTTACGTATTATATTTATTACACCAAACCAGCATTAAACTTTTCTAATCCTCTAGATTCCAATTTATCGGCCAAGTATATTTTTAAAACACCTTTACCTTTTCCAATAAGATAACCTAAAAGATAAACATAATAAATAATCGTCGACTTTATCCAACACTCTTTGTAAAACTATTTCAGAGTTAAAAGTTCGAATAAAAAATTTCAATTTTCGAATACTAGAAAATTTTAAGATTTTACAAAACAAATTACTCTTTTATCTTTCTAGCTACATCTGTTCTACGCTACTTTTGTATAAAATATAAAACACACGTAATAATTTTTTTTTGTAAACATCTACTTCAGTATAGAGCAAGAAATCTTTTATTTTTCAAACTACGTATACTCTATACTCCTTTGCGTGAAGTATAAAGCGTGCATTTGCTACTTGTTAAACACAAACTTTTCTTCAAAACCTCAACATTAATATAAAGCAAGAGAATCACGAAATATCCAACTCTGATACAGTACGATCTTCAATTTCATTAATTTTGCAATTCAACAAATAATCTCTATATCTAACTAAAAAAAAAAAAACAGAAAAACTATATAAATACTTGTTCCAACAATTGACAAAAAACGAACGAATAAAAAAGACCCAAGTGCCTTCGCTAAAACGTGAACGCAATTAACCCAAGAGATTTCGGTGTATGATCCTCGATTCAAAGAAAACCGCGAAATCCCCAATATCTGAATGGAATCGTAAGCAAGAGAAGTAGGGACGAGGCAGTCGAATTGGCGAAAAATTGTTCCGGGTGTTGTGTGTCGTAGCGAGAATGTAGGGCCGGCCGTTTGACAAACGAAACGGAATGAATGCACAGTTGGCAAGGAGAGGAGTCTGAAAAATGCCAGGAGATCGAGAAAGTATGTGGCACATGGGGGAAGCGCGAGTCTGGATCGAAAGCTCGCCCCGTATACCTTGATGACGAGTGGAATCGAAGCGGCAGCTTCAGTCGCTCGCGAACCTCCACCGTGGAAGCTTCTCCACGCGTTCGTACCGTATCTGATCGTACCACTATCACCTAATCGTAAACCGCGCCAACAGATACAAGATACCGGTGTGTGCGATCGTGATCATCGATCATCCATTCGGTGATTCTATTCAAATTTCTTTTTCGATAAAAATTCGACTAGTTTCGACAAAAAACCGAACATCTCGATGCGTGAACCAAAGTGTGGCTGGTAAACGAGAATGAGGACGATTCTGTTTACTCCCTTTTATCTGTGCATCGGCGAATTCGGCGAGTAAATCAGCAACAGATCAAAGTGACAAAACGATGTGGAGGTGTTTGCTTCTAGTTCTTTGTGCCGCAGGTAATGAGTTCCGCCAACGAATCGAACGACTTTTAATTCCAACCTGTGAAATGTAACACGCGCGAAATATCAAGTGAAGGGAGATCGAATGGATAAAAAGATCGACAAGGAAAGAAAGAAAACAGTTAAATCGTTTTTCGCGTTGAAAAGTTTCGCAAAAAGGTCGATCTTCGAGTCATTTTCGATTTCGTCCCCCCCCTTTGGCTAGAGAAAAATCTAAGCTATGACAGATCGAACATTGCTCACGGTCGTCGAAAGGCGGGAGAAACGGGTCGAGATAGAAACGGGGTTGTATTTTGGTAATTAATTTCACCAAAGTGTATTTACAAACTGTCACTCGCGAATGTTCTGCGAGAGAGGATCTTTTGAGACGAGCTCTG